GAGCCCCGCGGCCAGCGCGAGGCTGCCGCCGGCGCCGAGCCCGAGGTCCTGGGACCGTCGGCTGCCTCCCCCGGCGTCGACCCCGAGGCGGACCACGACCGACAGCAGGACCCCACGGGCCGCCCGGCGCGGTCAGGAACCCTGCGGGGGCCCCCTGACGGCCGGGCGCGTGCTGGAGGCCGCCGAGGCCCCGACGTCGCTCGGGCCCGGCCCGCCGTCGTGGAGCTCTTTGCCGGGTGCGGGCGGGCGACAGCCGCCGCCGCCGAGCTCGGCCTCCGCGTCGCAGTTCCTGTCGATGTGCGCCATGGTCGGCATCACGATCTTCTCAATCGCAAAGTTGCTACAGAAGTTGTGCGGTGGATTCGGGCGGGGGCCATCCGGGCCGTTCTGCTCGGCACGCCGTGCACGGGGTGGACACCGGCCCGGACTACTGGGTTGGCTTCTCCGCCTTCGACGAGGTGCGTCGATTTCACTGTCCGCATCCTGGAGCTCTGCTACCGCATGGGCGTCCACGTGGTGCTGGAGAACCCCGCCCGGTCGCGGCTGTTCCAGCACCGAGGGATCGCCCGAGCCCTCAGGAAGCTCGGCGCCGCGCACCTGGTCTTCGACATGTGCGCGTTCGGCGCCCCCTGGAGGAAGCCGACGGCCATCGCCACCACCCTGCCCTCCGCCGGGGGGCTCGCGCGGCGCTGCCCGTGCCCCGGGGCGCCGCGCGTCCGGCTCCAGGGGAAAGTCCGACTGGCGGGCCAGCCCTCGGAGTGGCGCACCGCCTACGCTGCGGCTTATCCTCCTGAGCTGTGCCGCGCTCTTGCAGACGTGCTCGGGCATGCCGCCCCGCCGAGAGCCTGGCGCCAGGCGCGGGAGGCTCCCCTCGCCGCCTGCTGGGAGCGACGCCTGGCAGCCGCGGCGGGCGTCGAGAGCTGGCCCAGCGGGCGACGCGTGGACCTCGCGCCAGTCGGGTCGAGGTGTCGGCTCGGCTGGGAGGGCGCGGTCGAGCACTGGGACGGGGACCACTGGACCGTCGAGCTCGAGGCCTTTGCCGCCCATCGCCGAGCCCGACGAGCAGCGGCGAGAGCGGCGGCGCCGCGCTGCCGCGCGCGAGCGCCACCACGGGTCCGAGCCGGGCGTCTGCCGGCGGGCGGCTGTGCGGCCTGCCACGGCATCGGCTTACCGCCGGGCCTTTTCTGACGTGCGGGCCTGGGCGGGCCTCCACGGGCAGCTGCCCGCCACCGCCGACGGGTGGGACCGCGTCCTCGACGGCTACCTCGACATGCTGTTCCTCCGCGGCGACAACGTGAGCGCCGCCCGGTACGCCGTGTTCGGCACGGCCTACTGCGTCGGGTTGCCAGCCCGATCGCCGGCGACGCTCCCTCTCGCTCGTGCTGCCCTCCACGGATTCGGCCGTGCGAACCCCGACAAGGTCGGGGACTCGTTGCCGCTGGAGATCATCTGGCTCTGCACCGACTTCTGGTTCCACAACTGCGGGCACCTGGGCAAAGTGGCCGCCGCTGCCGCCTGGATCGCGGTCGACTGCTACCTCCGGCCGACGGAAGCCCTGCAGCTGGCCGCTGACCGCGTCTCGCTGCCGCGCCGTGCAGGAGACCCGGTCGTCGTGACGGTTGCCCCAGCCTCGCAGGATGTGCCCGCGAAAAACTTTCAGTATGATGCTTCAACAGTAGTGGGCGCTCATGATAGGGAGTGGGTCTCCAAGCTTGTCCTCACCCTCGCCCGATCCTCCACCTCCGGTCCTCTCCTCGACCTCTCGCTCGCTCAATGGGAACAGTTGTGCCGCCAGTTTCGCCGATCGCAATTTTCTGAGAAGCTTCCCCTCACGCCTCATGCCTTTCGGCATGCCGGTCCTAGTCACGATGCGTGGTGGTTTAAAGATGATGCTGACAGGCTCCAGGCTCGAGGGAGGTGGCTCAGCCGATCTTCGGTGCTCCGTTATTCGAAGCCAGCTGGGATGCTCCGCAATCGGTCCTCGCTCTCTCGCCAGCAGCTGCAGCTTTCTGAGAAGATATCACAGCGGCTCCCGGCGCAGATTCTTGAATATTTTGGCCCTCCCGTGTCTCGCTCTGCTCGACTCCCACCCTCGGCTAGCCGCACCAAACGGAAGTTGGGTAGTGTGGGCACGCGCAGGTAGGCCTCGACGAACTGGGCCTCCCTGCATCTTTCGGGGGCAGAGCCCCCCTCAGGAGTCTGCGCTGCCGTGGAGAAAAGATGTTCCTTTGGTCATTTTTGAATTCCTTGGGCTTGCGCCCATCGCCGCCCCCCGGTCTCTCGTCGGGGTTACAGCCGCTCCGCGGGGGGAAGGCGGTGCGGGGGCCGGCGCGATTGGATGTGCGTCACATTATCGCTCCCCTATCGTAGCCGCCCCCGACGTCATTTTGGCTCCTCCTCCTCCTCTCCTCCTCCTCTTCTGTATTCTATCTCTGCTGGAGCCGCTGCCAGGGCACGTGCAGGTAGGCCTCGACGAACTGGGCCTCCCTGCATCTTTCGGGGGCAGAGCCCCCCTCAGGAGTCTGCGCTGCCGTGGAGAAAAGATGTTCCTTTGGTCATTTTTGAATTCCTTGGGCTTGCGCCCGTCGCCGCCCCCCGGTCTCTCGTCGGGGTTACAGCCGCTCCGCGGGGGGAAGGCGGTGTGGGGCCGGCGCGATTATAGTAATCCTCCACAAAGGGAATCATATTGTGGAGGATTGCAATAGAATTCCCTTTGTCGAGGATTACAATAAGATTCCTTTTGTTGGGATTTCAATAGGATTCCTTTGGTGGAAGATTACAGTAGGATTCCCTTTGCGGAGGATTACAACAGGATTCTTTTGTCCTTTTGTGGGGGATTATAATAATATTCCTTTTTGTTGAGAATTGCAAAACCAGTCGGGGCAGTGATTTCGTTGATTTTGTTGCCTGGGTGCTATGATTTTATTGTTTTTCCTTTCTGGCTTTGATTGATTTTATTGTTTTTGTTGGTATTTGGCGCCCTCGCTCCCCCAGCGCCGAATCCAGTTCCAAACCAGACAAAAACAACAAAACCAATGGTTTTCAATAGTTTTCCATTGGAAACGTTGAAGAACCAATGGCTTTCAATATGGAAATTGTTATTTGTATGGGTGCTCTGGGCAGCATTTGAGCGCGGGGAGAAGTCGCGCGAGCGTCGTGGCCCCTATTGGCTATCTTCTTGCTTGTCTCTAATGCTGCGGGACGGCTATTCACGGCTGAGGCGGATCCCCACCCTGCGCGCCCGCGAGCGCGTTCTCGTCGCAGGTGAATGGGAATTGTCTCACGCGTGGCCGTCCCGCTGGCGGGATGCGTTTTTCCCCACCCGCCCGACCCTGCTGCGCGAGCGCACTGGCGTCGCAGTGGCTGCTAGTTGTGTCGAGGCTGGGCTGACCCAGCGCCAGGATTGGGGGAGGCGTCGGCGAGGTTGCTCGGCTCCGCGACGCCGACTCGCGCTCACCCCACCGCCTGGCCTGGGCCTGCGCCAGTCGACGGTTGTGCCCTGCGTTAGCGCGGGCTCAGCCTCGACGCGACTTCTCTTTGGTTTCTGCAGAAAAAACAACAATAAACAATGCAAGACGAAAAAGAAGATGAAGAAGAACAAGAAAAGCTCGAAGGGGGATCTTGGGAGCCCCCCCTACCATATATATATGTATATTAAAAAGGCTGCTAGCAATAGTGAAACCCGAACAGTGGCATTTTTGTGAGCTACGTGGCGCCATAGATGTGGCGCAAGCAACGTGGCGCAGGTCACCCCGCCGAGCTTGCAGCCCCGCTGCTCGCGCAATCATCCCGCCCGCGCACCCACAACTGGGTCTGCAAAACCCATGCGCCGGCGATTGCGATGGCTGCTTGGCGCCGGCTGGCGCGTCGCTGCGGCCGCGCTGGCGCGCGCGAGCTCGCGCGCAGAGTGGCGGGCTAGCTGCGCGACTGATGCGAGTCGGTAACTCGGGCGGGTGCGATACCATGGCAACGTCGACAACGGCTGACGCACTTGGGTCGAGCGCGGGGCCCAGGCTCGCCTGACTGGCTGCGACCACGCGGGGGGCCGAAATTTATTGCGGCGCGCGTTGGCCGCGCAGCCAACAAGCAATCGCGCGGCCACCTTTGCTCAGCGGCCTAGTTCCACGGCGCGCGAAGCGTTCTGTCGCAACGATGCCAGCGCGTCGACCGGACTCGCTCCAGAGATGCAGGATCCCACGCTCGCAGGGTCCGCTCCCAGAGACAAGGGCGTGGGCCAGCGGGGTCAGCGCGCGCGAGCGCGTGCCCGGGCGGTCTCGCTCGGGCCGCTGGCAGCGCCAGCGCGCGCAACAATTGATCAGCTCGCTCTCCAGAGGCACCCCTTCGGTTGGACGGTGGCGATTGGCGGCGCGTGCGCCCCTGGCGAGGCTTGACGTGGCCAGGCGCGCTCGCGCTCGGCGCCGCCCGCGCGCGCCGTGGATGCGCGGCGCCCGAGTGCCGTGGCGGGCGCTGCCGGGCAGAGATGTCCTGCGGCGGAGAAACGGGGCGGCCAGCGCGCCATTCGAACCTGGCGCGCGGCCCTGGGTCGGAGCGGCGGGGGCCTGGGCGCGCGGCGCTAGCTGCGCCCCGTCGCGGGGCCGAAGTGGGCGGCGGCGCGCGGCGGCCGCGCCGCCAATGACCGATCGCGAGGCGAACTACCCAATGCGCGCCGGGATGCCAGGAACTTCGGGCCGCAGCATGAGAACCCCCCCGTCGCGACGAGGCCGGCGCTTCGAGCCGACTCGCGCCAAGTGCGCAGATTTCCGCACGCGCGGAGCGCCATGCGCGCGCAAGGTCTGCCCCGAGAAAGGCGGGGCCGCGCGGGGAGACGTTGGGGGCCGAGCCGTCGGAGGCCGCGGACGGCCGAGCTCCCGCGGCCGGCGCGCGCCTGCCTCGGCATTTTTATTTTGCTGGGTGGGGGGCGGTTGCCGCCGCTGCCGCCCGTCCAACGGCGCGCGCGCGAAGCAACCATCTTCGCCGTTCGACGGGCGAGCAGGCCAGTCCGCGCGTCGAGGGGCCAACTCTGCGCGATGATGACACTTGTGCACTCCATGCTGCTGCTCGGTGCGATTGCCTGCGAGTTGTCCACGGCAGTCCAGCTGCAGTGGCACGAGCCGTTGGAGCGGGGCGTGAAGGCTCCAGCGCGCGCGCGAGCCTAGCGCCGTTCCGAGTTGGTTTCTGCGGACGGAGATCTCGCCGCAAGAGTTGGCCGATTTGGGAAATAGGGCCGAGCAGGATGCTCGGGCGCAGGAGTAGCCAGACAAGCGCAACAGCGCGGGCCCCTGCCGCGTTCTCGCGAGGTGGCGGCCCAGCGCGGCAATGTTTCTCTCGCGCCCGAATGCGGCGCGCATGGATTTTGCAGATCGCTGCGTCGACGCGCGGAATTGGCCGACCGCGGCGCTGGTTGCTTTTTCCAGCAGGCTTCTCTTGCGCGCAGAAAGATTACGTTGCGCCGTTGGGCGTCCCCGCGCGCCCGCGCGTCGCCCGTCGCGGCGTTTTTTTTTTTTTTTGGCGCGCGCCCGAGGCGCGTTTAACAGCGTCGCGCTCTCGGGCCGTTGCCCCGCACGGCCCAGTGCCGGTTCGCTTTCTGCAGGTGCCCGTCGGGCTGGGAGGTGGCGATTGGCAGTATGTGCGGCTTGGGCGAAGATCAACGGGGCCGGGCGCGCCCGCCGTCGCCTCTGCGCGCCGCAGGTGCACGGCGCCGGCGGGTTATGGTGGATACTGCCGGGCAGAACTGTCGTTCGACGGAGAGTCAGGCGCCCGCCTTGCCATCGAACCCCGGCGCGTAGCAGTTGGGTCGAGCGAGGGCTCCTGGCGCGCTTGATCAGCTGCAACCAAGCGGGAGGCCGAAATTGCTTGCGGCGTGTGTTGGCCATGCAGCCAATAATCGCCCTCGCGTCGACAGATGCCAAATGCGCGCAGCGCGGCCAGCAGCCTCGGCCCGCAGCCTGCGACACATTCTTTCGCGATGCGCGCGGAGCGTCTTGCGCGCGCGGAGCCCGATCCGAGAGACAGCGCTAACGGGGCGGTGGGAGTCGGGAAAGCCAGTGGGTGCCAAGTCTTCACCGCACGCGCCATTCCAGCACCGTTCCAGGAAGATTTCTGAATAACTGAGATCTCGCCGCAAGAGTCGGCAGATCTGGGACATATAACCGAGCAGAATGTGTGGGCGCAGAAATTGAGGGACGCGCGCGACAGCGCGGGTCACCACCGTTTTCTCGCAAAGTGGCGGCCCAGCGCGGCGATGCTTCTCCCGCTCTCCCCTGCCTTGGCTTCGGGCTGGGTCGGGCGAAGGCATGGGGGGCTGACGGTTTCGGATTCGCTTCGCTGCAGCTCGCTGAGAAGTGGGGGGCCCGCCGCGCCGTCGGGCTTGAATGCAGGGCGCGAGGGTTCTGCTGATCGCCGCGGCGACGCCTGGACTCGACTGACTGCGGCGCTCGCTGGCTTCCCTGAGCCATCCTGTGGTATTGGGCTTTCGTTTTGAAGAGAAAGCGCACCGCATTATTTCCCGCCCGCCTCCGCCCCCCCCCCCCTTCCTTGCCTTTGCGTTTCGCGGCCCCCGCAGAAGGTTTCAAAGGCTGAGCTCGCATGCGGTTCCCCCACCCAGCACAGCGCTTCGTGACCGCATAGGGAACTCCACCGGAGGGCCCAGTGGCTGAGCTCGCGTGCGGTTCCTCCACCCAGCAAAGCCTTTCGTGGCCCCGCTGGCGGCTCCGCCGAAGGCGCCAGTTGCTAAGCTTGCGTGCGGTTCCCCCACCTTGTGCAACGTTCCGCGGCCTCATCGGAAGCTCCACCGAAGGCCTCAGCGGTTGCGCTCGCATGCGGCTCCCCCGCCCAGTGCAGCGTTCCGTGGCCTTCTGTGGGGCTCCACAGAAGGCCCCAGTGGCTGCGCTCGCACGCGCCCCCCCACCCAGCACGGCGCTTTGTGGCCGCATGGGGAGCTCCACCGAAGGCCCCGGTGGCTGCGTTCGCACCCGGTTCCCCTGCCCAGGACAGCGCTCTGTGCTCCAGAGAGCTCCGCCGAAGGCCCCCGCGTTTGCACTCGCATGCGTTCCCCCCGCCCAGGGGGCTCCACCGAAGGCCCCAGTGGCGGCCCCGTCCCAGCACGGCACGCCTTTCGCATGCTTCGCGGCCCCGCGGCGAGATCCCCCGACGGCGATGCCCGCGACGACGGCATTCACGACTGCATCTGGTTGGAGTCTTCGCCATGGTATTTTTCCGAACTGGTTCTTCGTGCGCGCAGGAAGTTCAAGTTGCGCCCCGCGCGCGAGCGCGAGTCCGAGCGTCCTCGCTCGGGCCGCTGTCCAACGAAAGCAAACTGAACATGGCAAAGGTTCGCGCAATAATACCTGCACGACCACCCGTCGGGCGATGAGGCGGTTGCGCGGGGGGGGAAGGGGTGGGCCGATATCTGATTCAACCGATCCCATTCAAAGGGAGACCACGGGACACTTGCCGATCTCATTATCGATCTCACTATCGATCCCATTCGACGGGACACAACGGGACGCCGCGGGACACCACGGGACACCGCGGGACACCTCTCGATCTCACCCTCGATCGCACTACCGATGCCACCCAACGGGGCACCATAAGACACCTGGGGGCACCACATCGATCTCACTGTCGATCTCACTCAACGGGGACACCACGGGACGCCTGTCGATCTCACTACCGATTTTATTCTTTGGGACACCACGGGACACCTCGGGGCACAGCGTCGATCTCACGATCGATCGCATTATCGACTTCTCTCAGCGGGGCACCACGGACACCGCGACCGCGAGCCACTGCCGGACGGGCGGGAGGGAGGAATCATTTGCTTCGACCTCGCCTTAGCAACGGGGGACACCACGGAACGCCACGGGGCGCCGCGGGACACCGCGGACCACCGCGGGCCACCGCCGGACGGGCGGGAGGGGCATAATCATTTGCCTTGACGTCGCCCCAGCAACTGCGGGTTCATTCCTCTCGCGCACCCGCGCAGCTTCGCCTCGCCCGCGCGCGCGACGCAACCGAAACGCGATCTCACCCCTGCAACCTCCGATGCATATATGTATATATATATACATATAAGGCTGCTAGCAACAGTGAAGCCCGAACTGCGGCTTTCTTGTGAGCTACGTGGCGCCATAGATGTGGCGCAAGCAACGTGGCGCAGATCACCCCGCCGAACTTGCAGCCCCGCTGCTCGCGCAATCATCCCGCCCGCGCACCCGCAACTGGGTCTGCAAAACCCATGCGCCGGCGATTGCGATGGCTGCTTGGCGCTGGCTGGCGCATCGCTGCGGCCGCGCTGGCGCGCGCGAGCTCGCGCGCAGAGCGGCCGGCTAGCTGCGCGACGGATGCGAGTCGGTAACTCGGGCGGGTGCGATACCATGACAACGTCGACAACGCGCCTGGGTCGAGCACGGGGCCCAGGCTCTCCTGACTGGCTGCGACCATACGGGAAGCCGAAATTTCTTGCGGCGCGCGTTGGCCGCGCAGCCAACAACCAATCGCGCGGCCACCTTTGCTCAGCGGCCTAGTTCCACGGCGCATGAAACGTTCTGTCGCAACGATGCCAGCGCGTCGAACGGGCTCGCGCCAGAGATGCATAATCCCACGCGCGCAGAGCCCGCTCCCAGAGACAAGGGCTTGGGCCAGCGGGGTCAGCGCGCGCGAGCGCGTACCCGGGCGTTCTCGCTCGGGCCGCTGGCAGCGCCAGCGCGCGCAACAATTTGTCAGCTCGCTCTCCAGAGGCACACCTTCGGTTGGACGGCGGCGATTGGCGGCGCGTGCGCCCCGGCGAGGATCGACGTGGCCAGGCGGCCAGGCCCGCTCGCGCTCGGTGCCGCCCGCGCGCGCCGTGGATGCACGGCGAGGGCCATCGCGGACGCTGCTGGGCAGAGATGTCCTGCGGCGGAGAAACGGGCGGCCAGCCGTGCCATCGAACCTTGGCGCGCAGCTGCTGGGTCGAGCGCGGGGCCTGGGCGCGCGGCGCTAGCTGCGCCCCGTCGCGGGGCCAAAGTGGGCGGCGGCGCGCGGTGGCCGCGCCGCCAATGACCGATCGCGCGGCGAACTACCCAATGCGCGCCGAGATGCCAGGAACTTCGGGCCGCAGCATGAGAAACCCACCGTCGCGACGAGGCTGGCGCTTCGAGCCGACTCGCGCCAGGCGCGCAGATTCCCGCGCGCGCGGAGCGCCATGCGCGCGCAAGGTCTGCCCCGAGAAAGGGGGGGGCGCGCGGGGAGATGTTGGGGGCCGAGCCGTCGGAGGCCGCGGACGGCCGAGCTCCCGCGGCCGGCGCGCGCCTGCCTCGGCACTTTTATTTTGCTGGGTGGGGGGCGGTTGCCGCCGCTGCCGCCCGTCCAACGGCGCGCGCGCGAAGCAACCATCTTCGCCATTCGACGGGCTAGCAGGCCAGTCCGCGCGTCGAGGGGCCAACTCTGCGCGATGATGACACTTGTGCACTCCATGCTGCTGCTCGGTGCAATTGCCTGCGAGTTGTCCACGGCAGTCCAGCTGCAGTGGCACGAGCCGTTTGAGCGGGGGCGTCGTGAGGCTCCAGCGCGCCGCGCGAGCCTAGCGCCGTCCGGAGTTGGTTTATGCGACGGAGATCTCGCCGGGCAAGAGTTGGCCGATTGTGGAAATATGGCCGAGCAGGGATTGCTCGGGCGAGGAGTGCGCGGACAAAGCGCAACAGCGCGGGCCCCTGCCGCGTTCTCGCGAGGTGGCGGCCCAGCGCGGCAATGTTTCTCTCGCGCCCGAATGCGGCGCGCATGGATTTTGCAGATCGATGCGTCGACGCGCGGACTTGGCCGACCGCGGCGCTGGTTGCTTTTTCCAGCAGGCTTCTCTTGCGCGCAGAAAGATTACGTTGCGCCGTTGGGCGCCCCCGCGCGCCCGCGCGTTCGCCGTCGCGGCGGGCGCGCGCGAGCGCGTTTCCGAGCGTCCGCGCTCGGGCCGCTGGTTGTCCTGTGGTTCGCTTTCTGCAGGTGCCCGTCGGGCTGGGAGGTGGCGATTGGCAGAATGTGCGGCTTGGGCGAAGATCTACGGGGCCGGGCGCGCCCGCCGTCGCCTCTGCGCGCCGCAGGTGCACGGCGCCGGCGGGTTATGGTGGATACTGCCGGGCAGAACTGTCGTTCGACGGAGAGTCCGGCGCCCGCCTTGCCATCGAACCCCGGCGCGTAGCAGTTGGGTCGAGCGTGGGCTCCCGGCGCGCTTGATCAGCTGCAACCAAGCGGGAGGCCGAAATTGCTTGCGGCGTGTGTTGGCCATGCAGCCAATAAGCGCCCTCGCGTCGACAGATGCCAAATGCGCGCAGCGCGGCCAGCAGCCTCGGCCCGCAGCCTGCGACACATTCTTTCGCGATGCGCGCGGAGCGTCTTGCGCGCGCGGAGCCCGATCCGAGAGACAGCGCTAACGGGGCGGTGGGAGTCGGGAAAGCCAGTGGGTGCCAAGTCTTCACCGCACGCGCCATTCCAGCACCGTTCCAGGAATATTTCTGAAGAACTGAGATCTCGCCGCAAGAGTCGGCAGAATGCTTGGGCGCAGAAGTTGAGGGACGCGCGCGACAGCGCGGGTCACCACCGTTTTCTCGCAAAATGGCGGCCCAGCGCGGCGACGTTTGTCCCGCTCTCCACTGCCTTGGCTTTGGGCTGGGTCGGGCGAAGGCATGGGGGGCTGACGGTTTCGCATTCGCTTCGCTGCAGCTCGCTGAGAAGTGGGGGGCCCGCCGCGCCGTC